ACCGGATTTCCGAAAAAAATTTCTTACCTGCTGAACCTTGATGAAAGATAGTGGCTTTTGCACACGGCATATTACGGCAAATATTGCAGAAATGTACTGGTCCAGTACTGGTCGCCATTACTGGCCCAGTACTGTCCCAATACTGGCCTAGTACTGTCCCAGTACTGGCCCAGTACCAGTCGCCAGTACTGGTCCAGTATTGGTCGCCATTACTGGCCCAGTACCGTCCCAATACTGGCCCAGCACTGGCCCAGCACTGGTCGCCATTACTGTGAAGTTAGCTCCCCCGATATTTCAAATGGTGTTTTCATCCCTTTAATCGACGGAACTATTTCTAAAATTGATAAAGAATTCTAAAACTCTTGGGGGGGGGGGGGCAACCAGAACTCTACTTATTTTTTCAATTTTTGAAAAAAAATTTAGAAAAAAAATAAAATCTAGTTGTATGTATTTTTTTGTTGCACGTATTATTCCCATTGAAGGATTTTCCTATCCTATTCTTGGTGCGTTCCGATATTCACTGCCAGTGCTGAAACTATACAGTATACGTTACGTGCGCTACAGATTTTCAGTATAGAAGATTTGTATAGAAGATTTGGTATCAACAATTGGCACCAAATTATAATCTCATATGTAGGTATTTCTATAAAAATTAAATTACCTTATTCGATCCAACAATAATTAATACTAAGAATATTCTTTTTATTAATATTATTTGATTAAACAGTAATTTTCTGTCAAGTTGAAAAAGAGTTTTCTCCTTTTCTGTAAAATTTAATTTTTTTATTTATGTCACTTTTGAATTAAAGGAGCAGTATGTTAAACGTTGTGTGTTATAATTTAAATTTTTAAATAATGTTAAATTAATTTAAGCTAATTAAAATGTATTTATACCTAAAAAGAAATAAATTTTGCTAATAGAATATAATAGATTAATATTAAAATGAAGTACTGGTAATAAAATTTTCTCATTTATTTTTCATCATGTTCTCACATTGAAACAGATTCAAGACTTTAACTCACTTATGCTATACGATGGTACAATTCAGAACACAATTCGAATAATTTCATTGGCCGGTAATTATAAAAAATTGCCCTAACGTTGAAATCTCGACTCTTGAAAGGTCTCGGAAAATATAGTTATTTGTGGAAAATTTCGACCGCGCAATGGAAATCTCAGCGGGAAATGGCTTCGCGATAGTTGACATGCGCGCATTAATTTATTTAGCGTGCATCCGCAGGGCGATCGGAACAAATACAGCGGTAATTACAAATATTCGATCAGCCGAACGCAATTGAGTACTCCAAAGCGGCCTGAAATTTAAAATGATCGTGAGAGCCAATTATTATCGCGCAAACCTTTTCAGAATGCAAAAAATTCATTCGCACTTTTTCCATCGATAATGTGTACAATTTACAAAAAAATTGTAGATAAATTTTGTTGCATTAAATGATGCACATATAATAACAGCGTAATCATCCTATACGTAATCGAAACTTTGATAACAAAAAGAGCTACAAGCGCCATTTTCTAAGAGAAAATAAAACTGAAAAGTATTTTTACTATATTTTATCACAAAGTGATATGCTGATATTTATTTGCAAAAGTAACTTCCTCTGCGATTTTTTTAGCACTTGTTCGTTTAACGCCAAACTCACAATCATTTTGAAATAACAATTAAGTAAAATTTTGAAATATTAATAAACATTTTTAAATAGTTATATCATTATATTATTTTTGTTGAGCGAAGACTCACTCGCAAAGAAATAGATACATGTTTCGAGTTATTTTCTCTTGTGACCTCCTTCAAAATTTATTACTAAGTTATCCGCTATATCATGTCACTATTCCGTTATGGATTGCTAATATATTATTTACTATTTGTGCCCCGTGTGTCGGTACGCTATATTCATTTATTTTGATATTGAAACAGTAAAACAGTTTTGCTATCATAAAGTGCGTAAAATATAGAAGACATAAATATTGCCTAAAATATAGAAGGCTATTTCATTTTAAATTTGTAAACTCGTTTATGTAAAAGCAACGATGGTTGTCGTAACGGCGCGGCGTTGGCAAAATATCGAAGAACAATTAGAAGAATAAAATCGTTGGATAGTTATTTTCTTTCTTCTCATGTACGTCAATATACACAGAACTAGTAGTTACATAGTCACATGACATTTATTGATTTATTTTGAGTATCCTATTTTGATAACACTCAATTTTACGGTGCATCGATGTTTTACATCGCTTCGGACATAGTTACATATTTTTCTATTAAACAAGCCGGACCACAAAACCAATATACGTTAAATTTGAAGTTTTATATCGAGCAATGTTTTATATTTATCTACACTCTTTATACTCTCTAATAGTTTTCATTAATTTACGTGAGTATCGAAAGTCTCGTTTCTCCATGTGAGCATAGTGTTTTTTTTTTTCGGCCGACAGTTTCCGTCTAGCTAACAAGTGGTTTTGCAGTGGCTTGACCATTCGCCTCGCGGAACAATAACGAGTCTTTTAAAATAATTCGTTGGCTTTTCAAGGCTTTGTATAAGCAGTAGTTAACCAGGAACACAATAGAGCAGACCGCTTTGACCCTGTCCTGTTAGTCTGCAGGATACACTCGGCCAGGCCAAGGGTACGATTTAGAAATGCAAACTCCAGGACGAAACCACGATTCCCTGCTTCTTTTTCGCGCGTGCCTCTGATACGAAGTACTCACCTCGCATTGAGTAAGGTATTTTACATTGTATAGTATTGGGATACGAATGTTCCCGACGTGCTTTACATTCTGAAAACATATGTATTGAACGGTGTGTCGAATGCTCTTACAAAAAAAGAAATCTAATTTAATACTGTTTAATTTAATACTGAAAAATAATGATCTATTACGTATTTTGAGTATTGACTCTCTGCCTGTAATTTAGATCTTGTTTTGCACAAGCACAAGTTCACTTTTAAATCTTGCACTGACCATACAGAAAAAATTTCAGTGATTTGCTGAAACTCTGATATGTTGTAGCTTATGAGATCAAAGCTGATTAAAAATCTCCATAAAGATATAAAAAATCGACAGATATTACAGTAGCATCATTTGAAAGTTACTTTTTTGAATTTAATCAGACTAAAAAATATCTTAATCTACAGTGCACAATTTATTCTTTAACTGTATAGGTATTTATATATATATAACCATATATTTGTTCATACGTAATAATATCGAATGTACTAATATGGAATAGCTATCGATCGACAGATATACACATATATATTCATATCACTCCTCTCTCCCACACCACGAGACATAAAACGCTCATGATGAACACTTATATGATATATCTCAAATGCTTATATGATATATAATGAATGCTTATATAATTATATAAGTGTTCAACTATATTATATTTAAATGTGTACTTATACAGTTAAAGAAATTAACTGTGTACTGCAGATAAACGTTTTTCAGTACGATTAAACCTAAAGTGGCAAATAATGTTATAGCAAACGTATCGATTTTTTATGATTGTGTTTATGGAAACTTTTGATCAACATCTCATAAGTTACAAAACATCATAGGTTCAATCAATTTGACCGAAATCCTTTTTTCCATATAATTAGTACAGGATCCTTTTATATATCCTCACTTTTGCTCCAATTTCAATTTTTATTACATAAATTTAATTAAAAACATTTAATTTAATATTTAAATTAAAAGACGATTTGGAAATGTTGAAGTATTGAAATAAGTAACCCTAAATTTTTTTTGAAAGCCTAGAACAGTAAAAGAACTTAGATTAGACAAAAAGTATTGTAGACAGAAAAAAATATGATTGCAGACGAAGGATTAAGTGTCGTTC